AGTTATACAATCATTTTGCAAAATTAATAAGGGAAATAGCTGCCATATACGATGGCAAAGTAATACGTGAAAGATCAAGTATCTGATCAAGCAGTATATGACATAATAAGGATTTAAAATTATAAGATGCCCGCGGTTATAATTACAATATACTGCATATATGCAGCTTTAAAAAACCTACATGTTTTCAATAAGTGCTAGTTTTAAATCCATTTTAATATGACTGATTATGATCGGCTCTAAATGGGATAACAAAAGCTGAGAAAATCGTTGTTGCGTGGTATCCAAGCTAAATAAGTCGTCAAATAGCTCATAATTTACACTAGATGCTATCTTAAAATTGGAAGTTATAATCTTTCTCTCAATTGGACGAATGAATACTAGATATTGAGAAATAAAAAAATATGATCTCACTCAGGCTTTGGCAAAGATATCATCCTAATTAATAGTTAATTATGTTAGATTGATTAATTAATCAATAGCAGAGAAGATCGGAAATAACTGTCATGTACAGTACTTCTCTTGTTTGATCTGCTTTACGAATTAGCTTTGCCTTTGCAGAATTCCAATTTAAGTGTTATGTAAAAATACGGAGATTTTATTGATATAAAATTGAGAGTGAAAACCTCTTCTCATTTTGCTGAACTGCCATTTCATTAGCCTATATCAATATGGAATTGCTGATCATCCTGTACTCTCCTCCGCATTACTCTTATTAAGATGATTATGTGTATATTATACATATATATGTAAGCAATAAAGATACTCTTGAAACTTATTCATTTACCAGATTAATCTTCCCATTTAGTTCTAACTCTAATCCTTTATACTATTTATCGACCTTTGATTATACAGTAAGTGACTAGAACAAGTTTATTAAAATCTCCATGAAGCGATACTCAATAGAATAATGATGATAATTCAATTTAGTTTTATTTAGTAAATCCTAGAACTATTTTTATTTAATTTACAGTTTCACAGACAAACTATCTAATGCAAGATATCGACTCATGTTAACTAACATGACATTAAAAGATTATTCGGTCACTATCGCTAAGAAAGCAGTAATTTTTCTTGATGATGTGAATATATTCCTTCAAAATATTATCATAACAGCAATAGCTTCTAATTTTTATGATCGGTTTACTTTTTAGTGTGTGCAATACATCTTTCTGAATGGATTCCATGCTTAAAATCCGAAATGTAGTCATTTATAGGATATTGTACATGTATACAAGCAATTATCAATTCGATTTATGTTAATCCAGAATCATGTGATCATATTGATTACAAAATTTACGTAAAATTATTAGATTTCAGTAACTTTATCAATTAAGTTTGCAATATTTAGGTCCATTTTGCAGTGTATGTTATTAAATAAATTGCAGTAATGTTTTCAGCTAATTTTAGTAGTACAGTAGGTGGCTAATAGGATGAAACAGCGCACTTGCACTGTTTCTAATATAAGAGTTGTATCACATACATTAGGGATTTACTCAAATTTGTTAATTCAAATTTTGGGTTACGTAAGTGAACCTACAGTAATAGTAGGAGACTATTACTCGGTCATTACAATTGCGTACTATTACACAAAATAAATATAATATGGACTCTCTAAGGCGGTGAAAGATGCTAACTTACTTCATACATTTTACATATTTCGTTAAGGTATCTAAGTAATGACGATGCTGCTTTATATGAAATACGTAAATAAGACCTGATATCTAATAATGACAAAATGACATTCGATGGAAATAAGAATAGTATAGTATGATGTCGGAGATTCTATAGTTATCTTGTACAGATTATTACATATATTTGTATATTTGCAAATGTATTATGTAATAAGTTGATTTGCAAATATAACAGCGTAAGCCATAGAGAGGCTTAGTAATGATTGTTACGCCGGAACGTATTAATTTTCACTACCCCTTAATGGCACTATTCTATCAGCGTGGGAATCATTTTTAATGAATACTTTGTAAACACGATACTGTGCAGGTGCTAGCCTTATCATGATTATCTCGAATAATATAGAATCCCTATCATTGGTCGTCGTTAGATTTAATGATCAATTTCTAGATGACATAGTAAACAGCCGGTAACAATAGATAAACTGGTCGGATGTAATTGGCATAATTAGGCTAATTAGTAGCATCACTAACATATACGGAACTAGCATCATTCTACTTTAATTTAATATCGTAATAAGCTGATATAGTAAATTTGGTATAAAGACAAGGAACTACTTTAGTAGAACCTGTTTTGATTTCAATCATTGTACGCAACTAATAGAGAAGTAGAAATTGGATTTAATGGTTTCCGCTTGCTAGCTTTGATGTCTTTACGTGTATGCTTGGCGTGTATAAGAGTGATTTTCCATTTTTCTTGTAGCATTAAATTGATCCACATTAAACTTTGATACGGGATCATTAAGACTATCACAAAACATAATTTGCTTTAGGACAAGACAGTTCATTATAGTGTTAACAACATTCAGGTTTGCGCTTGATTTTTTCTATCCTAACGCCAAAATTGCACTATTCATCATAAAGTTTGCCAATTTTTATTATATCATGACGAATTCATTTGTCATCATCAACTTTATTAATCATTATAGATATTTTGATAAAATAGCTTAGCGCTGGTGATGATTTGTCATGAAATACCGGAATATCTTTGCAAGAGATATCACTTACTTTATCGATTTTTTTAAGCAAGGATTTTTTACACAGCTGGCTTCATAAAATTCCTGTTCTTTAAATCTTTAAATTATTCCTAGTTGTGAATAGCGTGCCCATGATATTTTAAAATGATCTTTGTATTCCTTTCTCAAGTGTATGAATAACAACAATTAGGATGTAGATATCGATTTATAATTTGTAGCCCATGAATATTCCAGCAATATCAGATCTACAGCGAAAATAATTTAATACAAACTGAAAGTATCAATTTCCGTGGAAAATATTATAATAATATGCGTAAGCTTGCTTTTAATAATGCACATCTTTTAGTCTTAAGAGAATAACAGTACAGCAAATTATACCAATTTCAATTAATAAACTTATTCTCTAGTCTATAATTTACGTTGCCTATAGTTTATTGCTATAATATCCATCATTTTCGTTATATCTAGAGATGATTTAAATAATCTACCATTGATTAAAACAGCTTAATCATAGGCAACGGATACTAATGATGCCTTTTTAATCAAGGTACCCGACTGTATTTTGCTATAGTACATTATGAGAGTTATTTTTTGAAACTCAAAAATGTTTTAAATTCTTAGTCAACTATTGATGGAACGAAACGCGAGTAGTACGTACATAGACCTCACTAACACGAAGTTATATGATTACTCTAACTTTATAGTATCATCACTAGCTTTACAAATCATTGATACTAACTTGGCTTCCATTACGCGATGATACGAGTACATTTGTTTTATTTTTAATATTCCTTCGAAGGTTAACGATAAATGATTGTGAATATTTACTTTAACTCCGTAAATTATTATGTATTTTGATTTTAGGAGATTAATTAGCTGTCCTGTTCTTTTATGGATATTTCCATCGTTTTCTTTCCTCAGTTTTTCTTTCTACGATTAATAATATCGCAATAAAATTTCGCTATTGAATACGTACTTATAGAGAAATTTGTGACGATAATAATGATAGTAATGTTCATGCTATAGTAATGGAACATCCAAAAATAATTTTCGACTCCAAGTATTTTAAGAGTCCAGTTAAAGCTTTTATATTACAATTATTTAGTTTGCGCCAAATCCGCTACAGATATCTTGTTATTCCATAAGTATTTGATAGTATTATATAGGCCTGTTATTTTATTATTTGCCCTTATTTACTTAAATATCTAACATTACTTCATTTGGTAGACCTTATAAAGGAAAATCAATCAGTCTAACAGTATGTACAGACAGCGCGGTATGGGATATATTTTGATCAAGTAAACTGTTGACAAAGGCATCAATCTGTCTACTAGGGTTACTGTATTAACTAGAGAAAAATTTCATAAAAATGTAAATTAAAAGTATTATCGAAATGCTCTCTACTCCTAAAATAATTTCCGAAATTCCAATGATTTATCCTAATCTAGCTCATTTTCTCTAGCGTCATTTGTGAATGCCCAATGTTGATATGTTATAAAATATATTTTTAATTGATATACTACGTTACATCACTACTTCTCTAATTTCATAATGCAATTGGCGCTAACTAATAGAATATTAAAGCAAAAATGTCGATTACATGAAAGCAGTAAGTGTTCAGTTAGATCAATATTTTTCTAATAAATGCTCTTTTTCATATTTGACCTTTCTAGACTTCTGCATCTTATTGTTTGCGATTTGCAGGCCAATTATGGTTAACGAAGTACTTTAGCAAGTAAAAATTATTAAAACCAGTGCATAGACTCTGATCTAATTTTTGGAAACGCGGAAAAGACATTTATTGGAACTAAAGCCGTGAATGATATTGAATTTATAGAAAACACCTAGATTTCATAGTGTATGGTAAATAACACCTAATGCCTTCTACTGGGGTAGTCCGATTAACTGGGGCATAAAAGTATTTTTAATGTATTTGGCTTCTAATTAGTACATCCCATAAAGCTAGACGTTCCTCTCTCTAGCTGATATTGACTAGAAAGATCTGCTTTATTATAAATCAAGCCAAATAAGAGATTAATGAAATTTAACGATTGCAAACCAAGTTGAGCAGTTTCTTCTTCAAAAAATACGACAATAAAATCACCATATACGATATTAGCCTATTTAAAAGGTCATTTCAACATTATATGCGGCTTCATATGATACAATTATACCTCAAACTTGCGTAATATATATATATGTTACTATATACTAATTAAATGTTGGATTACTTCAGCTATTTTGTTTAATACAAGGCAAGATAAATATTAAACCGTAAGCTTCTTTTCTTTTGAACACAATTTGGTGTTAAAGCTAACGCAATTTTACCAATATGGCTATTATAATCCCATTGTACCGATTCAGCTTTACAATCCTTCTTCTATGTTCTATCTCAAGAATACAATGCCAAAGCTTAAATTTAATGTTATCATTGCAATCCTCAGCACCTCAATTAGAACATTTGAAATATTATCAATTTATCCAATTCTCCAATAAACCACTAGATAATATTCAAGCTGGACAATCTATCCATATTCAATTTGATGCTTTTAATGCAACCTTTAAACTTAGTTTAAAAACTGATTCTAAAGTTTTCATTAATGAAGCTAATGTGGATAAGGAAAGCGAAACGGGCCTTTTTGGCCAGTTTGATCGTTTTCGCCTTGTATCTGGAACTTTACAAGATGATGATCATTCTTATGCATATGGTTATGTCGATGAAATGAGTAGCTATCATGGCGTATTTTATACCAATCAAACAGTTTATTACGTAGAATGGATTGGATTATATGCCAATCAATGGAGTGATGAGCAACAGTACTTTATTTATCGTGATATTGATATTGGTTCGCAGAAATCAGTAATCAATACTAATGATGGGAATAATCAACAAACGGCTTCATCCACTTCTACTTCTAGTATCAATCAAAATAATCAGATCACTTCATTGCTTATGAATGATACTACGTGCTTAGCTCATATTGATATCGATAGAACATTTTTACAGCATTATCATAATAACTTTGCTTATGTTATTTCTGATGTTGCTATTTTAGTACAAAGAGTTAATCATCTTTATCGACGTACTGACTTTGATCAAGATGGCAAAGCAGATGGAATTGGTATAGCCATTAAAAATTTAACGTTTGGATTATCTGATGAGTTGATTGGTATCAATCTCAATTCTACAACAATATCAACTACAGTCACTACAACTTCAAACATATTATCGAAAATTAATAATCCAGTGGAATTCTTTAATCGACTGACTGTGGCTAAGAATTATTCAGATTCTTGCTTAGCTCTTTATTTAACTGGCCAAAAGTTTGATAAAGATGTCCTAGGAATGGCTAATAGTGGCTTTAAGGCTAATGAAGGTATCTGTACCGGTTATTACATTAATCAAGATCATCATGTAGCTAGTTCTAATGTTGCTGTTGTTTCAATCAATGATCGAAATCATGTCATTCCATTTGCAACACGTGAAATTGCTATCGCTCATGAAATTGGTCATTTATTTGGTTCTTTGCATGATACTAATGGATCAAGTTGTTCGCCTAATAATCATCAAGGCAATTACGTAATGTATGAAAAACTAGTTGATGGTAGTAAAAGGAACAATTTTCATTTTTCTACTTGTAGTCGAAGTGAAATTAAGCAAAATTTAATCTTAAAAATTGATCAGTTAAGGCCATGTTTAACACAAGCGTATTATCCTCTATGCGGCAATGGAATTATTGATGAAGGCGAAGAATGCGATTGTGGGTATCAATCTACTTGCAAAGATCCATGTTGTAATTCAGCCTATCAATACCTCACTGATATTCCTAGTTTGTCACAAGTAGGCTATAATTACATTCCATGTCGCAAGAATAGTCAAGCAACTTGTGGTAATGCTGTAGTACCAATTGAAGCCATCGGTATATCTGTTACATTTGGTCTGCCGATAATTTTAGTAATTGTATTATTAATTTATAAACAAGTTAAACATAAATTTTATATGCCAATATATGGTGAGGCGGGAGTAAGTAGAAGCTCACATAGTGATTGCCGCCAATCCAATTTATCTTGACGTTATCGGCGCTTAAATAGCGGGTTTTGTTCTACGACTAGATGGAAAGATCTGACCTTCTTTTGACTTATATTAATTAAGTTAACTAATTAAATAAATAACGTCATTTTTAGACTGGTGGCGAAATATCTATGCTTCAAAATTTATAGTATAGAAGAATGTACGTGAATCACTTATATCCTGACTGTATTAATTTCGATGCTTTTGCATATGTCGCACTTGTGACATATGCATTAGTGTATAAATTTTTAGTATGGTCGGAAATATACAGATACTGTGTAGATACTGTGTTGTATACAGCAATGGGTTACCTTTTATCTTCCACTTATAGTATTGACAATCCACTAACTTCGTGGATACGCTAAAATTTAGTTCCTCTTTATTACAACATAAGGACGTAAGTCTACTTACATAGTTATGATTGAAGCTATGAAACTAACATGATGATATTAAAGGATGCCTGAGTATTATATTATTTTGCCACGATTAATTTATGACATGGCATTCAGCACTTACTTGAGTGCATTATTTCCTATGAATCATAATTCTTATCCTAATTAAGGAAAACATATTTTAAGTTGTGTAACGGCTAGGTTCTGATATACTTTGCACAAGCATTCTAAAAGTATGATTCTGTAGGTCGATAATATAATTTCTAATGTTCTTGCTATTTTGCAAATTTCTTGATTTAAAAAATTTCGTAACCTTCGTAAAAAATTTAATAGATAGCACCTGTAAGCAACAGTTAACTCTACTAGTATTTGCTATAATTTTCATGTTTAAATATAATGATGAACAGGAATGCTATTAATAGCACTCATCATAGCCTGTTTCTCATTTATAAGGTGTTAGGCTCAATTTGTTTCGATTTTATTAGCAAAAAAAATTCACTAGTAATATAACATATAAATTTAATGAAATTAAATACGTAATAACAATATTATTTTTTAGTATTGTATCTCCTATCCTATATTAATACCGAGATGAAATAATTTCATTAGGGAAGATAAACTGATCATCTTATTTAATAAAAATATGATAAAGTTCGCTTTAAGTGTACATACACACTGCACAATACATACACTCGAGTTTAGAGATCAAATATTTGTGAAGATTGCTGGCATTAAAGCCCATCAACCTTGAAAAACCCAATATGAATATCATTAACATGTGTATACCGCTTACTGTGCTTTGACTTATAGCACAGATTATTGTAATGAAGAGATTGCAATCTAACGCAAGTAATTGATCTGGCGGGCGAAAGGAATAAAATAATTTAAACAGCATAAGAAATAAACAAGTAATGAGGAAGCCGTTAAGTGATTATATATGACTGAATCACTTTGTAATTTGATAAAATTTTAAAACCTTTACAGTCGCTAAATAAGAGTCAGCTTTACGCGCACCATAGATTAACGAAAAAGAATGACAAGTAAAACACAATGAAATCTTCAATTTCTGATAGCATAAATGAATTTCATTCTTTTATGATATTTCCCTGCTTAACATGAAATTTAGGATTGAAAGTAGAAAAATTTGGACTATGAACGACGAAAACTGACATTGAGTTGACTATCTTTACTAGTAAGAGGAACATAAATAACCGACATTAATGACTTTTTGGTAACACTACCATCCGCGTGTTTCGTATATTGTTCTAGGTGTTGATTGCCACCAGCAGGTCCAACAGGAATAATTAAATTCCCTCCTGGCTTTAACTGCTCAATTAACTACATCAAATATCAATTTGATAGTAATATTGATTACATCTACCGCACATGAAATTATGTAAATTGATTATTACACTAAATTCATTCAAAATTTGATTTAATGATTACGGCTTGCTTTACCGCGTTAGGTGTAACCGGTGCAGCAGCACCAACGTGGATAGCATCGAAAGGTGCGCCTAGTTCATACCCTAATCTTCCATCGCCAACTATATTGAAAATAGAAAATGAAAATTTTGAACACTTTGTATTACAATGCATCATAGTTTGCAGTTATCCGAGTAAGAAATATCTCATAGCTTTTAATTCTTGAGCTTAGCTATTCAATTGATTAATGGATAGTGTACAAGACGCAATACCATACCTATGAGTTGTATCCTGTCACTTTCCAACAAGGAAGGATTAAATTTGTTGATATTATTTCTAGACAGCGATATCAACTCAGGAATATGCTCTATCCCATAGACTTTACCGCTTGAGCCAACCTAGTATATGTTTCGATAGATAATGTATAAGGTTATGATTATGTATTTCTAATTTGTACTAACAGAAGATTAATTTAGTACCAAGAGCTTAGTCCTTACCATCATGGCCATGCACGCTGTTAGGTATCCGCTGCCAGAACCAACGTCCAAAATAGTGCAACCTTCCTTCAAGTTACTAGCCAAAACTTGCAAAGCATGAGCATGCTAATGATTATAATGAATAGCATTGAATTAGTTAGCGATCCATTTACTAGTTTTCTTCACGATTATTATTAGACTTTAATATGCTATCCTACTTTATAAAATCGCTCTTATAAATCCAGTAAGATAGAATTGTTTGCAAGTAGTAAAACAATGACTGAATTCGTAGTATAATACTACTAATCAATACATAGTTGATAGTTGTAATTTAAAAGAATTCCTAAGCGCCACTAACCATATGAGGTGCACTGATTGTTGCTTGATAACCTAACAAGGTGTTTATAACCAAAATATTATCAAGTATCTCTTTATAAACTATCCGATATAAACAAGATAAATTATAAAGATTTGCATGAACATTACGATTGCTACAAACACTCTATTTGTAAAATTGAGATTGCACAAACTTTGCAGTTTTAAACTAATTGTAACATCGCTGTCATTTACACGAAATGACAATATATACGGTAACTAGAAGGTCAAGAGTAATGTTATATGAATGTTGGCAGTCACAGCGGATCAAGAACAGAACTTATCTCATATGGCATAGTAGTCATCAATGATTGCTAACTGACGATGAATTACTTTTTAGTTTAATTCCTTACCTATCGATTGTGGGCAATCCTGATAAGGGTTATGAGAACAAAATAGGCCTCGATCAACTTGTCGCATTGCTTCCTCGACATAAGGGCTGGTTATAACACCGTTGACTATTTAAACATGGCAGGAAACGCATTGTCATTAATCAATCATCGTGAAAGTTTTACTAAACTAACTTTGTGTTGCATCAACCTTATTTTAAATAAAACGATGGTAGATGAAGTTAACATGTCTACATTAAACAGACCACATTGTACGAGGTCATGACACATAAGTCTGCACACGTCCATTTCTATATCTACATCTATAGTATATTTGACTAAAGTAGTCTACTTCATTTTTTGTTGGTTTCCAAGTGCGTTTATTGAATGGTTGCAATTCGAGATTGTAATTAAAGACTAGTCAATGCATTCCATCGTACTGCAATAAATCAATTACTCGCATTGAAGATTGAATTTCGGGTATATAGCTTGCGGCCAATGTCCGAAGTTGGCCGATACGCGTAATGGCCGGATAACGGACATTAGCCTTAACATACGCATAAATACAATCAGTTTTTCAAAAATAGAATGCTACACAGCAGAGTATCTACTCTGCTGGTATAGCATACTTATCTAGCAGGGACTATTAAGTGAGAATTTGTATCAGGAATAACGATGATTATGATTGCAAATGCCAACTGTTTGCACTCTTGCCTTACTAACGTGTGCAAGTTACGGTAAGTCTTTATATAATCAATATCGTTAATCTTGGTTGCAAGATCAACATGACAAGTGATGCTTATATCGAGACAAACATAGCCAATTGCGACAATTGTACTTGAAATTTTGTATCCATTGCATTATTCTACCATAAAAGATGATTCGAAGTTAGTATTTTAGACTACCTCTTAACTGAGTGATTAGATCGACATGAGATTTGCCATGAGACCTCCAAGCCATTTTAACCAAGGCCACTAAGGCTTTCCTCATACCATGGGTCCCTTTACCGCCTCAAGCTTAGGCTGCTAATCAACTGGTCCAGATGGAGACCGTTGGCGGTCCAGTACCACCACCCTAGTGACGTCACTGCATGCATTGTAGCTGTACTGTATTGTCGACTGTTAACCAGTATCGGAACAATGAACAGTCGACACACAGCACAATGCAATGCAGTGACGTCACTATGGCGGTGGTACTGGACCGACAAGGGTCTCTATCTGGACCAGTTGATGGACCAGTATCCCGGACTAGACCTGAGAAAGGTTCGGTTCGGTTCGGTTCGAACCGTTATGATTTATGGGGCCTGGGCATACTGTACGCATACTGTACCTAGACCTACACCTGTCGAAGGTTTGGTCGCTACAATGCAATACAGTGACAGTTACAGTACTGTACTGTAGTACAGTACAGTACAGTGTACCGTATCGGTAGGGGCTGACGTCACTATGGTGGTGGTACTGGACCGGCAACGGTCTCTATCTGGACTAGTTGATTGTCAGCACCGTTTGTACTTGACTAAAAACGGTGTACTGTACTGTACATTCAGGGGTACATTGTACTGTACAATGGCTTGGTTTTCACTGTAGCACCAATTTGGGTCAAGTGATTTTGACTTGAACACACTCACTCTACAGTACTGTACTGTAAGTTGATGAGCTTTCTAAGCCTGCAAGTACTGTACGTTGTACTGTAAAAGTTACAAGCCTTAGGGAAAGATGAAAGCGCTGAACGCCCTAACCACTTATTATTGATTATTATTATATATTATCCCATCCAACTGGAACTCGTGTGGAGAAGAAGAAAAGGTTGGCCAGTGCTGTTCTCTGAGTCTACCAAAACAACTACTTTAGTAGACAGCAATAGAATGCTCATCTTGGTATCTCCGTTAAGTTATCTTTCAAGGTGATTATTACATCCATTTATCATCATTGCCAATATGCAGAGATTTCGAAGAGGGCATGGCGCGGTATGGATGGTGGTAATAATTATAACATTTCTGCATTTTGCATGGATTCAGATTATCAATGTTAAAGAAATAGATGATGTAACGAGTTTTAAAGCAGATCTGGATACGTGGATTTACTCCAATGAGTCGATATTTCAACCGGACTATATATTAACTAAGGATCATGGAGTGCAGAGTAAGAATACGATTAAAGTAAGCGATTTAAGAGTCTATCGTGATATTATCTACGAGATGTTTATCGGTATACCGTCATTCAAACGTAAATTAAGTCCTATCGTCCATTTCGATTTAAGCAAAGATCCAGTGAAAATCAATTATCTACGAAAGATTTTCGCCTATTTAAACTACTTTGGAGCCAAATCAGTTATGCTACAATATGATGATTCTTTCCCATTTGCAGGCAATTTGAGTTTAGCTCGATCACCTCATAGTTATAATATTGACGACGTCAAAGATATTATAGCTCATGCTTCTAAAAGTAAGTTAAACATAATACCATACATTCAAGTTATTGGTCAAATGGAATATTTACTACAACATCATCAATTCCATGACATCAGGAGTGATTCATTTCCACGCCAGACAATTTGCCCATGTAGTAATCGAAGTGTTACTATTATAAAAGAGATAATACGACAAATTATGGATTTACATAAGAACGCTAAAGCTATTCATATCGGCGGTCATGACTTTTATAATTCACGTTTAACTTGTAATCGTTGCAAAGGCCAACATTTAAATGAAAATCAAGTTTATGTCGAATATATTGTTAAGATATGTAAATATATCAAGCAACATTTTCCAGAAATGATTATCTTAATATGGGATAATCGCTTAAGGAGTATGACAGCTAACGAAATGGAACCTCTGAAAGATTTAGTAGAACCAATGGTTCTAGATTTTCATCCCGACGTTACTCATATCCTCGATCAGCCACAGTGGAAAAGGTATAAATCATTATTTCATCAAATATGGGGTGCCGCAGCATATAAAGGTGCTGAAGAATGCGACGATAACTTTGTTCCAACGGTTAAGCGACTAAGTAACACGATCACATGGGCTAGATTATCCAACGGCTTAAAAAGAACTGGTTTAAAAGTAGGAGGTATCTCTTTAATGGGTTTCTCTCGTCCAACTTATTCTCTACCTACATGTCAGATTTTACCCGCGAGTATTCCTTCCTTACTACTTAATGTATACACTCTTAAGGCATGCGAATATCATATGTATATTGCATCAGAAATTGCTGTCTGTGCACTGCGATGTATTGACTATTTACAAATTGAATTAAAGGAAGATTACACTATTGAAACTTGCGATCGAATGCCAGGCAGACAAAGTTATCGGTTGCTGTCTATACTTCGTGTTTTGAAGAGTCGTGTTTCTAACGTAATGGCTAAATTAGGCAAAAATCGATACTTGCTTGGTGATCAGTTATATAAGTCATTGCTGGTTGACGAACTCACGTATCTTCGACAAGCATTGAAAAGCTTGAATAAAGAAATTCAGATAGCGTTTAAAGAAATTTATAATGATTATAGCATTGATGAATGGCGTTATCGCCATGTTCGACCACTCACTACCTTGGTCAACGATCTGTACTGGCATGTATTGCATGTTACCGTGCAAGCTTAATTTGCTGTTGATATTGTATCTATATACGTATGTATACCAGTATACTGTACTAGATCTTGGTAAAATTCATATAACGATCTATATCTGATTTAATATGCGGGAAATGATGTTGATGGACTTGAAACTACTTAACACGAAGTTTTACCATACTAGTATGTGTCTCTATCCAACAAAGGTTGCATGCACGCGTGTACTTTGTATTTTAGATGTATGCTACTATATAGTTTACCATTGCATTTACCGTTGGTTTTGATATTTTCACTGTCAGTTGATGAATCAGTAAACTATTTGACGGACGGAATACATTTTTTCAAACTCTATTTTTTAGCTAAAGTAAATTGCTTTCAAGGAACGGAAATTATATTTACTGAAATTCTGTACTGTAAAGTAAGTCATGGTGAACATTTGAATTCACTGATAGCTTCACTGCCGTTTGTATCATGTTGCTGTAGTTTATTTATACGGCTCCACGTTTATATTATCCGAACTTGTTGAAATAGTTTCCATAATCCTGTATCAGAACGACTCTTAATGAGCAAATTTCATTAAATTTGACTTTGTTTTAGTTAATATGCCTTAATATTCGAGTAATTAATCATGAAAGTAAGTGATTCGATGTTATTTGTGGTCCATTATTTACTGGTAGAATTATTAAGCAATATCAGGAAAAATGAGAATGAATAATAATGGGAGAAATTTAGCAGCATGCTGCACTCGGTGGCTGTACTTCGGTCTAAGAGTAGTCTATAGCTGACTTTTGACTAGACCGAGTTTGGTATAAAGTTTCAGTTACTGTAGCTGTTCAAGTTATATGATGATAGATGCGCGTTGGATTATCACTTTGGTTAAGAAAATAACTGTTTTTCAAAAGTTACCTAGGACCAATTCAGAGTAGTTTGATATATGGATAGGTCGATCATGCCTTGTTGTTAATCCTTAATTCAACATTGAATTAATTACTAAATGATTTATTATCAATCAAATACTAGTCATGAATGAATTACTTCTAAAAAAAGCACAATCTGTGGTATCTTTGACTTTATATTGATTGCATTTGCATTAATAATTAATTAATTAATGGCTGCTGATCAATTTATGGCACTAATTTGACTTTATATTACCATAAAGTGTGATATGTTCGACATAACTACGCATCAAATTACTTTTAAAAAGGTTCTACGATAACCCGACATGCGATATTCAAATATTTCATTCTAACCTTAACGACAAAGTTAAAGGTGAATGTTGATACCATAAGCCCATAAGTAAGTACTGTACGTCTAGTCCGTCCATACGGTACAATATACTGCACTGTAGTGTACAGTGTACAGTACTGTAAGGGCAAAAGTATTCAGTGCAAAATGGAACTGTACAAGGTACAGTGTACAGTGTACAGTACTTTTTTGTCGGTACTGTACCAAACTGCTCGTAAAAGTGCACAGTAAAACTATGTTGAGGTTGCAATCAATTCGAGTTAATTAATGAACGTTAAAGCTGTAATAAGACAGCAAAATTTGGATATTAAAGTAATATTGGGAAACACTCTCGAAAAGCATTGCAACAGCTCATTGAATCATCATGAACGCAACGTTTTCAATAGGATGATATATTGTACTACAGAGTCTTTACACTGTGCAGTGGGCACCTTGTTCAATCTTGACTACGGTAACTCGTTGGGTGAAGTACGACGTTGATCTCTATCTACAACCTGGACCAGATCAAATCATTAACAGTTAAGCTTTGAACTTGATAAAGGAATTGGGCTAAATTTTACGAATTTTCACACAATAGATCGTGATTGAATTTATCTTCTATATAAAGAAATGGAATCATTCTTATTATCAATGCCAAACAAGCAGATGTGAAAGAATTTCAACTTAGCCTTTCTAAAATCGCGTTGTTACAATCTATTATGAAATACTACACGCGTACTATGCAGATAGAATGAGAACATTTTCAGTTACATAGCCTATCGTGAAATATAACAATCACGGTATACATTGCACTTGGGCTTTCAGTATAGACCTGGATCGGCCAGTCTGTATTCCAATATGCATTGGTTTCGAAGAGGATATTGTTGTGTATGGATGACGGTAATTATTATAACATTTCTGCATTTGACATGGATTCAGATTATCAGTCTTAAGAGTAATCATGATCGATTGAATATTATAACAACAGAACCTACTTGGGTTTATTCCAATATATCAAGATATCTGCCAAGCTATATAGTATCCAGCCATCATACTCAAGCTACAAATAAAATTAAGGCAAACGATTTAAGGGTTTATCGTGATACTATCTACGAGATGTATCTTGCTTTTCGTATGCCTAAGAATACTCTAAGCCCAATTGTCCATTTCGATTTGAGCAAAGATCCGGTGAAAATCAATTATCTACGAAAGATTTTCGCCCATTTAAACTACTTTGGAGCCAAATCAGTTATGCTACAATATGATGATTCTTTCCCATTTGCAGGCAATTTGAGTTTAGCTCGATCACCTCATAGTTATACTATTGACGACGTCAAAGATATTTTAGCCCATGCTTCTAAAAATAAGTTTAACATAATACCATACATTCAAGTTATTGGTCAAATGGAATATTTATTACAACATCATCAATTCCATGACATCAGGAGTGATTCATTTCCACGCCAGACAATTTGCCCATGTAGTAATCGAAGTGTTACTATTATAAAAGAGATAATACGACAAATTATGGATTTACATAAGAACGCTAAAGCTATTCATATCGGCGGTCATGACTTTTATAATTCACGTTTAACTTGTAATCGTTGCAAAGGCCAACATTTAAATGAAAATCAAGTTTATGTCGAATATATTGTTAAGATATGTAAATATATCAAGCAACATTTTCCAGAAATGACCATCTTGATGTGGGATAATCGCTTAAGGAGTATGACAGCTAACGAAATGGAACCTCTGAAAGATTTAGTAGAACCAATGGTTCTAGATTTTCATCCCGACGTTACTCATATCCTCGATCAGCCACAGTGGAAAAGGTATAAATCATTATTTCATCAAATATGGGGTGCCACAGCATATAAAGGTGCTGAAGAATGCGACGATAACTTTGTTCCAACGGTTAAGCGACTAAGTAACACGATCACATGGGCTAGATTACTCGACGGCTTAAGAAGAACTGGTTTAAAAGTAGGAGGTATCTCTTTAATGGGTTTCTCTCGTCCAACTTATTCTCTACCTACATGTCAGATTTTACCCGCGAGTATTCCTACTCTTTTGCTTATGGCCCTAGCTGTTAGAGTTAATGCATACCATAAATATGTTAATAGTGAAGCTGCTATTTGTACCTTGAGATGCAATGACTACTTTCATGTAGAGCTAACTGAAGACTACACAGTCGAAACATGTAGTCGAATGCCAGCTCGTCAGAGCTATCGATTATTATCCATACTTCGGGTATTAAAAAGTCGTATTTCTAACTTGTTTGCCAAACTAGGCAATAATCGAAATCTTCTTGGTAATCAGCAGTACAAGGTATTAGTAATAGACGAATTAATCTACCTTCAGAGTGCGTTAAAAAGCCTAAATAGGGAAACTCGACTAGCATTTAAGGAAGTCTACTATAATCACACTATCGAAGAATGGCATTATCGTCATATTCGACCTCTCAAAAATTTAATAGATGACTTTTACTGGCATATGTTACATACGCGCATTATTTTACAGCCATAGTAGCGCAACAGTTTTAATTTGTAGTCGCTAATGAGCTTTTTTCTGGTACAGCAATACTTTTACCACTGTAATTATTGTAAAACAAGTTTCTGCTTTGCGTTATAATAATAGTTGGTTTTGAAATTATAAAACACCTGATATTAAGTAAAATTTGGATAATCTAAAGCTTCGGTACGAGTATCTTGGCGCGACTTTAGATGTGAAAACTTCATTAGAATATGTAAATTGCCATCGCAAATTATTATACCATTGGCAGAAATAGTTGATTTTTCATCTTTGAAAAAGTAATATAAAAATTTGAAGAATCAACTTAGTATCATTATGAGAGTACTTTTATACATTAAAATTTATAAACTTTACGTAAATCTGGAGAATTAAATTCTTACGTTATACATATGTAATATTTATTAGATATTGATGTTATATCGTATAGACATTTTATTAGTTCTTGAGATGCGTTATTAAATTCCCTCTCAAGTTATGGAAAGCTTAATGTGAAATTATGAAGCCTCATCAATCTATGTGTCATTGCTCATTCTTACTTTTATGACTTCTCGATAGATTAAATTTAATTTATCGAAACGATAAAACCTGTTACTTTGTTATGCTTATACGATAGAAATAGTGAACGCTACTCCATTTTTCGAACGGCTATATGGCTTTATATGTATCAGCTTGGTAACGAAATTTATACGGATATTCAAGTAATCAAATATGTTTTCGTGGCTTAATTTGTGTGACATGACTATAGATTGGATAATACTTGGTTTGGTTTATCAAGCGAAAGAAGAACATAATTAACAATTTTGATCATTAATATATGGCCAGCACTACAAAAACTACCGTGCATTGCTATATTTACATAAACAATATTACATGAATAATAATTTTATGCACGAAACATAGCAGAAGATACAAAATCTCATGCAGGGTTATACCGCATTCTAAAATCATCTGTTATTTACAGATATTATGATTCAGTTCTTCAAGCCCTAGTCTCATTCAATAGGCAAGCTTGAAGTTAAGACTATACTATTCAATGAATCTTATAATAAAACAAATCCTTATCAAAGTCAGTTAGCAAGCGAATTATCAAGTTTTTACGGCTCTTATACGATAGTTTAAACCAAGACAATTACCATGTGGCAATCTAGTATTGATTTCAGATTTCTGTAATTCAATAATAAGAAAGAAATGATCTAGTGGATTTCGTCGGTAAGCAACTATTAAGGAGTTGAAGCCAGAAGTGTTTAGCATGTTTACTGTAAATTCTGTAATCCGCGATCGGCAAGAAAACATGTTTCAACTAAAAATGATAAATTTTGAAGGAGATTATAATAGTAACAAATGACAATGGCTAAAAAAGTCATCCTGAAAACAAATATTCGCTAGATACTATCACAGTCTAGAATAAATTTTGTAAATAGGTATCGAATTTACGCTACAAAATCCGTTAAATTACATCAGTATTAGTTCATTTTTGTTAATTGTATCAATCACGTTAACTCAAGCTATAAATATTCGCCATCTAAAACCGCCATCGAAATAGCTTACCTTGCATTAGGCCAGAATTAATGAATTAATATTATCTCATATTTCAAAATAGAAGGATAAAATCTGTTAAATCAATCAGTTTTTTTAATTAATATACATATAATACACATATGGTCAAATCATAATTACTTATTTAATACTTGATTTTATAAATAGTATCACACAGTTTCGATTCTCAACTGAATCAAAATTAAGAAATCGATCTTTGACGTGCATAAAAATTACATAAAAGAATTATTGTCTAATTGCCGTAGTCTCATCACTTAGAATTAGCATTACGATTATTAATCACTAATTGTTTTTACAATAGTCTATCTCAATTTATAGTGCTACTAACACTGAAGTAATAAATTCTTGATCAATAGCGCTATGATAAAAGGCTTAATGAATCAAAAGAAGTATATCAGAAATGCTTTAGGAAGCTATTTGCATTTACCATTTCCGTATTGTAGAGCTAGCAAATAATTTGCTAGCTCTACAATACGGAAATGGTAAATTAATATTGACGTAGACATCTTGACGCGGTCAACTTCAGTAAACAAAGTCAAAAATTAGTCAAAGGACAGAGTTACACTATGATTAATTCAAATTATGCTGACTACCCAGTTAAAGAGTGGTTCTTTACCTTTTATTTATGATATTAATATACGGTATATTTCCAAATTCAATCGTCATCGCGGCGACTATGATTATTTTTAGACTTATGTTAATAGAAATGATTAGTTTAAGAATATTCATGATACATAATTAACTCAAGTAAGGACTACTAGATGTACCTATATCAAATAGTTCGTAGCTCAAATTAAATTTGGTTACTTTTTGGTCATAATTCAATATTATCGATGAATTTCACTCAATAAAATAAAATACAATTTAAGCATGAACATTTACCATTCATGATGTCTCCAAACAAACTATCAAATTCGATTTAATTGTTAGTTGTAAAGCAAAAACAACACTGTTCATGCTAAAAATATCTACTATTCAATGATCAAAGTCTGAATAAAGATTTTTTCTATTAAACTGAATGTCTTTGTTTTATTTCTACCCAACCAGTTTACTAGCCTCGTAATAAACGCTTGATATTTTATAGTCAATAAAGAATCTTAACCCTGCAAAGAAATGCCAAAAATAAACTGGTTTAATCACAGAGAGATTTTTCTGCTTGTTCGACCTTTTATTGGATAATGATAATATTCAATTGAAGATATCAACTAATATGTCTAAAATTTTTTGACTGGAATTGATACAATTTAGCCCCTTTAATTACGCGTAGCTGTAGTTGACATTAGTAATGAAAAGAGTACTCGTTTTCCATACTATCATAGTAAATAACATCAGGTCGATATTATTGGAAATTAAGAAACGAAAATATCGTTTTATTGTTGCGATCAATTGTGTCGAAAAAAGATTTGTCGCATTCTATTTATTAATTTTAATTAAATAATGGATGAAACAAAATGCACAAAGTTTTCATATATTTCAATTTTATTGGTCATTTTGCGACTAAAAATATGAAAGGATTTCAATGTACGTTATTAAACTACTTCTAACAAGATTAATTTAGTTTATTAAACTAAATTTGTCCTAATGAGAGCTTACTGTAGGTAATTGATTAATCTTTACCATTGATCTTTGCAATCATCCATGATTATGAAGCTATAGATAGAGCTTTGTATTTTTGCTAGAGTATCAATTTCACAATTGGTATGACGATCGTCATTCTTTCAACAGCTGCATTACGGTACAATGGGCTGCTATAACGAAGTATTTCGATTTGTATGACATTAACTCAATTAATTTAGGAAAGTGTTGTATTATGTAATATTATGATTGAAGCCCTGTTATCACTTTAAACAAGCAAAAGACCAGCAGAATTTAGAAGCAACTATCCAAATATTTATCTAGATAAGTTATTTAATAAAGTCATTGCATTAAATAGGCATATACCGAATTCATTCACAAAATTTGTTAAGTTTGATAGTATTACTACAAACAAACTCTATAAATGCAATTAAAGCACAAATAAGCCACTAAAAATTTCTGACATTGGTAGGTATTAAAATCTACTGTGAGTGTTATAAGTTAATGTATTGCAAAACTTAAAATCTATAGTATATCGGTATGATACAGAAATAATTCGACAGAATCTTTCCTTTTTATTCATAAACACTATATAAATAGAAACTAGAAGGCTGCAGTCATATAGTAATAGTAGCTTATTACAGCAATTATATTTTATCAATAACAAAATTTTCTGATCTTTTTCGCGACCGCTTAAAGAATATTAGTAATAGTCTTAATCGTAAGATATCTTATGAATCGATATTAGTAAAGAATACTAATTTTATTTTATAATTCAAAGTTGTTAAAAAAATTCGTTTAGTAATACTGATTGTATTAAATGCATTTCCATACTGTAATTGTCATCGTAGTATACTCGTATACATATGCTGCGGCTAATAATCGAAACTCTTTAACTTAGCATTTATTTAAAACATTGACCAATATAACATTAATTAATGATGACTTATTTGAATAAATTATCATTCTTAACAATTCTTACTCAACTAATCAACGTTATTTTTAGAATGAGGGAAATTTCATTTGAAGTTAGTATGATTCAGTAACCTTACCTAAATTAGATCAACCTTGGATCTATTCTATCAAAGCATCAATATATTGATTCTCCACAGTATTTAATAGGATATGTGCTGTATTAAATGGCCTGGTGTAGTAAATTGTAGTTAGGTATTATTTACGCGTAGCACACTACTGGTCTTTTGGAAGTTAAATTGTATATGTTACGGTATACAATGTATTATTATTTCACCATTAAAATATCTAGATATATGATCCTTAGTGCATCCTATACATTTAAATCAAGTTTTGAAAGTTTACTGATTCAGCACTGTAATGGGGTAGAATAAATTGGTATAGGTAAATTTGGTAGTCATCGCAGATTTACATGTACTGATGCGTTTGAATAAAAAAATAGATTTCTATTGAGTACTATAAATCGCAGAAGATTGAAGGCAACTACTGTAAATCGAGATGTAAGCTGCCGTAAAGTAACATGACTAAAATTGGTAGCGCTAACAGTTATAATAACTAGTCGGGTCAGTACCGCAACAGCTGAGATAGAAACATAAAAATTAGCGATATTTATGTCTTTGGAATGAAAAGACTTTAAGTGTGGTATAAAGTTATAAATCTGAGATAGATTTCACTTACTATATGTATATATAATTAGCAAAATAACTGTTTGACATCGCCGTAAATTTGAATGCCATAACTTTTAATGATATGTTTTTTTTCATAAATTAAAAAAACTCTTATGAGTGATAAAAAACCAGCTGATAACCAAAAGATTAATTTGGTCAAGGTCATGGTTTAGACGCAATTTTAGTTTTTCCTTTTCTATTAATCATATTTACGAGGTAATAGTAATGTCGGTCAATCTATGAAACGAAGTGATATAGTATCGGCTAGCGTTCTAAGCATATAATAATGTTCTTTTAAATTTCAAATTTTTTCAATTGATTTCTTACTTAACAGAATATGCAATATTTCTTAAGCCAAATAAAGTAATTTTCTTTAAAGTATTGGATAAATCATCAGATAGCATACTCTTATATCTATTTAAGATCTGGGCTAACCTCAGCTGGCTTATAAGCTAAATTTTGGTCTGAGCTAGGAGTAACAATTTTCGGTTTAGACTTATGAAGGATACTGAGAAATAGATGCTATTTCTGGCTTTTAGACCTTAAAATTTCTATAAATAGGCTGTACTAAAATTTGTAAAGTTAGATAGGAATCAGATCACTATCTCCTTTGTGGCAACAAAACTGCTTAAATCAGCTATACGTGGATAATACAAAGAACGCTATTTCTGTTGGATGATTTCTAAAACAGGAAAGGCAAAGTTCAGATAACCATTGAAACCAGAAAGCATGATTAAAATGCCTATATCTTGAGTTATAAATTTTAAGAGTAGAATGTAAAGAATAGCATAGATCCACACTACATCCTGCTATACTTGTAGGTCAAATCGTAATACTGAACAAGTGTATACTTGTAGCACAGCGAGACTTATCGGAATAGTCCTCAGTATAAGAACTGATGAATGTAATTCAGTGAAATTTAATACGAAATCGAAGCCTCGTTCTATTATTGCAGAAACTATCTTATAGAAAAGTTCTAAGCTCTTTTAGTAAGACCACACTATCGTAGTAGAAATGGAAATAAGATTGGTAGTGTAAAAGGTAGGAAAAGTGTTGTTATAGCTTCATGCTACTATGAATTATTGCACGCGATAAATTAATTTTCAAAGACTTTTTCCAGTTTTTTATGAGTGATAGTCTGCATCAAAGCACAAATAACGTTATCATTGTTACTAGGGAAAAACAAATGATCCTGTATTACGATAGTTTAAGCAATTGATTTATCTACTATGAACGGAAGGATAATCACTTGTTTTTTCCTCTGTTGTTTACTCATTACAATACAATAAATAGATTTATGGCTCCACCTTCCACACAAAATAGAATTTAATTCAGTGTTGGTACAGAGCCGAAAGTAGCAGCAAATAATGAAGCATTTTCCATCTAATAGATCCCTTGAAATTTTCTCAGCTTGATTACTTTGTAAACAAGGTTGAATCATTTTTATTGACGTAGAAGTAGATATTGTTCTGATTTCAAAACTTATGTTACAATAATATAATTATCTACATGAAATTGTGCGTTAACTTTAAACACTCATTCTGCATATTCGGCCAAGGATTATGTACGCGTACTTTTATTGAATAGGCGGTGGCGGCAAAGGATTTATTTATAAGTACATCTACCGTCCAATCTAGATGGCAATTAAGAAAACGTGCCGACTATGCTTATGTTTTCATTATGCTTACTGTACTTGGTTGCATGGCCTAAATTTGTTATTTCTTGGACAAACCAATGACGTCAGGTAAGATTCCAATGTCGATTAAAAACGATAAAATATTGAGTGAAAACTTGTCTTTAGCATATGAGAGAACATTCTTAATCAATTCGGCGATAGCGTTGGCTTCTATTTGCTCATTTATCAATGAAGAAACCTATATCTAGATAGTTCCTATTAAACTCTGCTGTAAAGCATCGGAATTAAAATCTACTTGATAAATAGACGATAGAGGACAAGGAAGATTTCCTCTAATAATTAATTCAATCAGTCATCGTTAGTATAAAGAAATATTCGTGTTCTACGGAGGGAAATATGTGTTAATTTACTCATGAGCTATCATCGAAACTAGCAACTGTCTACAACTACACATGGAGATAATATCATTCAGAAAATCGATGGGGCTCATAGCGAATTAACATTTTCAGAATCGAACATTTGTAATGTGTTACTCGCAAGCATTTGGTACTGGTACTGGACCCTGAGTACCCATTAACACCAATTTTGCAGGGTGCTCAACCTAATTGACTTAGCCGATTCTACACGAAATAGGGTGAACACTTCGATCTTTTAGTTATAGCGATTATAGTATCTTAGTTATCTTAAAATAATCTTAATCTCTTTATATCATTTCTATAATTAATAGTAGTTCTATGATAAATAAAAATTTAGTCTAGCTTTGGTTAGTAAAATCAGTGCAAATATCCTGTTGTCATTATTCATAATCCACTATGATCAACAATCTACAGTATATTTTTTCAATCTTGATATTACTGATAGAGCAAGGAATTGAAACTACGCTATCTACTGTTTAATCCAATAATTATCAATCATGGTCGGCTTTAAAAAGTATCAGTAACTAATTTTATAGCCTATAGCTGGGGATAGATGGCCGATTAATTGATCCAATTAAAAATTGATCAATATTCATATTGATCCATGAAAAGGAAAAGAAGATGATAATAGATACTTCATTGATCAAATATCATTTAAATTATTTTCACAAACGCTAGTTTTTACCTTGATAGTAAAAGTAACGTTATATCTTCCATTTTTCATTTAACAGCTTCTCTGTGATTCTTCTAATGTATCTTTTTGGACTGATGCAATCTTGACTAAAATTGCCACTTGGCTTCCTTGAAAATCTCGTCAATACTAACAAGGAATCGATAACACCTCTAGAAGGCTCTCATCTAGACAGTATTTCTTGACATCTGAAGTTGATCTATTCACATTTAAAAATTTATAGCAGATAATCCATTGAGCCTCTTATGTTTATAGTCAACCGATTGAGCAAATGGCAATTATTTCATAAATTTAAAGGCTTCTAATATCTTGTAACTAAATTTACATTTAACAATCAATCTCTCAATCAGCAAGATTTCAATTTGGAACGTTAAACCTTAATGTGCTTTTTTACTTTGGGTAAGCTAATGACAATATGGGCTACAGGATTACCGATAACAGCTTGGTCTAGTAATGGGTTTATTCTTATCGTTAGATAATAGAAATAAATTGGTATTTTAGGCTCTACTAGACCTATTCAGTATTAACTGGAAGGGTTGTAAATCGTTCTATCTCAGCCGAATTCGAAAAGCACCGACAAAATCTTTATCTGACAAAAATTTTGCATTAACAATTTCATTTCAATAACCGGAACAATTTGTTAATTCGGTATTATTATTGTTTCTGTCTTAACTCGTATTTAATTGTTTATCTTGGTAAAGACAAGACGAATTGGGATTTTACATCAATATTTCGTTTACTTAACAAGATTGATTAGAACTATGGCAATATTTTATTTCCCATCTATTTCATTGCAACTAATTGTCTTATGTGGACTAATAACGATCCGTGGCATACTATGCTGCCCGGTTGGATGCCAATGTCAGCCAAGTACATCTTGGTGGTGTCATAATGTTAACATCAGTAGCATTGCTCAGGCTGTCAATACTAGCCATGTTACCAGATTGTAAGTATAAGCTACATAGTTAACAATGTTGTACAACTCATAAAACAAAGACTAACCATCGGGTAAATAACGTCGTAGTATTTATTATACTTTTGTTATGATCTTTTTGAAAGTAAGTATTTTGTATCTATGCAATATCTTA